GACTTGCTTGAGCCCAGGATTTGGAGGTTGCTGTGAGCTGTGATGCACTCTACCCAGGGGGACAGCTTGAGGCTTTGTCCCAAAAAATAAAAAAGAAATTGTCAGGAAAATATGCTGAGTGACTACTTACCATATAGTAGCCAGTATGATAGCCACTCATGTACCAAGAGATTAACATACTTCCCAAAGCATCAGTATCATCAAGAGAATCTGGACATATGGGAGGTGGTGGGGGAATTATCTGAAAAAGGAAAAAGATACATTCTAAATTCAGTAAAAAAAGTGTGAATTCTGGAGATTCATACTACACAGAGAATGCTAAATATCAATTATATCTTTTGTCATACCCCGTGTTATTTCATATTTAAATTTTTATAAGATCTAACATCTGGAGAAAGCCAACCAATGACAACAAAAGACCAATAAAATTAAATCCAACAAGGATTAAAAGGCAATAGGTGACGTATAATGTTTAAACGTTTTTAATTAGACTACATTTGTTTCATTATGAACATATGAGTAAAAGATCATAAATGCCTTCATGTTGTTCCTAACACATACACATAGCATTTCAAGGACCATATTAAGTAAAGGTCTTGGGTAGAACATCTGCCCTACCCTCACCCCAATACATACAACGTAACAAAAAGTATCTTTGTATCTGTTGTTAATACTTGAAAATATATCATGACAAAAAAATTCAGTTTACAGGATCAGAGGCCAACATCTAATTATCTAAGTAACTTGTAATCCTTTCTAGTGAGAACTACCCCCAGGCAGACAGACAGCAACTTCTGGTAGGAAAGAAGCAAGCAATGTAGAGCTCAGAGTTGGGGCTATGAGAGCACTGTGCCTGTGTAGAGCTCAGAGTTGGGGCTATGAGAGCACTGTGCCTGAGTAACAGAAAGGAGTTGAAAACAACCAAACTGGGCGGTGCCTGTGGCTCAGTGAGTAGGGTACCGGCCCCATATACTGAGGGTGGTGGCTTCAAACATGGCCCCGGCCAAACTGCAACCAAAAAATAGCTGGGCATTATGGTGGGTACCTGTAGTCCCAGCTACTCAGGAGGCTGAGGCAAGAGAATCCTCTAAGCCCAGGAGTTGGAGGTTGCTGTGAGCTGTGATGCCATAGCATTCTACTGTGGGCAATAAAGTGAGACTCCGTCTCTAAAAAACAACAACCAACAAAAACCCCTCCCCCCAGAGGTTAAGTTCAAATTTTTATTCATTAGAATCTGGCCTAATGGATGGTCTAAACCAGGGGTCCTAAAACTTTTTAAACAGGGGGCCAGTTCACTGTCCCTCAGACTGTTGAAGGGTTGGACTTCTGGCCTTGGGACGAGTCAGCTGCTAAGGAGGACAGGCAGCTGTGGCAAAAAAACCCGGCAGGCAGGATAAATGTCTTAGGCGGGCTGCAGTGGCCTGTGGGCAAGTAGTTTGAGGACGCCTGGTCTAAACTGATATTTTATAATCCCCTACATTCTGTATATCAACCTCTGTATCAGTGGTTCTCAACCTTCCTAATGTTGCAAACCTTTAATACAGTCCAAAGAGGTCATGACCCACAGGTTGAGAACCACTGCTATATATGAAAGCAAAATTTAATCTGAATTCTTTTGTACTTACTGGTGGTGCAGAAGGAAATGGAGGCAGCCAGCATGAAAGGAAGTGGGGCGGTGGTGGTGGTGGTGGTGGTGGTGGCGGCGGTGGGCCATTGAATTTTAAACCTGGCTATAAAGAATATTTCAAAGGAAAATTAATTTATCAATTTCAATATGAAAAAAAGAGAATTCAATACATAAAGGATAAGGCTCAGCAGCCATAGTGCAGTGGTTACGGCACCGACCACATATACTGGCGCTACCAGGTTTGAATCTGGCCTGGGCCTGCTAAAACAATGACAACTCCAACAGAAAAATAGCTGGGTATTGTGGTGGGTGACTGTAGTCCCAGCTACTTGGGAGGCTGAGGCAAGAGAATCACTTAACCAGTGGTTCTCAACCTTCCTAATGCTGTGAACCTTTAATACAGTCCAAGGGGGTCTCGACCCACAGGTTGAGAACCACTGGCTTACACCTAAGAGTTTGAGGTTGCTGTGAGCTGTGATGCCACAGCACTCTACTAAGGGTGACATGGTTAGACTCTGTCTCAATAAAAACCCCAACAATTACCTAGAATTATATCTGTTTTATACATATCAAAAAGATTAAATGGAATTCCATGTACCAAATCCTGAAGTCAAGTAGATCTGAAAGTCAAATGACAACCTCTAAATTTTTCTCATTTCCTTTCTATGTAGTGTTATGTAATCCATTTTTTTTTTTTTTTGGGCCAAGGCTGGGTTTGAATCCGTCACCTCCAGCATATGGGGCAGGCGCCCTACTCCTTTGAGCCACAGGCACCGCTCTCTTATGTAGCCCTTAATGGGAGCAAAATGAAAGGAAGATTTGTAATTACCTAATAAATCAGAGACAGTGTATTCAGCAAAACATTTCAATCATAAAAGACTGTACCCCCAATTTCATTATCTAAATCATGTAATTTTTTTTTGAGACAGAGTCTCACACTTTGTTGCCTTTAGTAGAGCCATGGCATCACAGCTCACAACCATCTCAAACTCTTTGGCTTAAGTGATCCTCTTGCCTTAGGTTTTCATTTTTAGTAGAGATGGGGTCTCTTGCTCAGTTGGTCTCGAACTCCTAAGCTCAAGCAATCTACCTAGAGTTGATTGAATCATACTAGAGTACTAGAGTACTAGAATCATAGGCATGAGCCACTGCGTCCAGCCTTAAATTGTGTAAATTTTTTGGAAGCTCTTTTAGCTAACTTAGATCACATATTGTAAAAACTAGTAAACCTCTTATTTTATAAAAATCAATTCCCTGAAACCAATTTAGCATGATATACATTAACTAAGGGTTTAATCATTTTAGTGTCAAGAAGCTGTTATAGTAACACTATTGTAAGTCTCAATAAGAAAGTAATCACAGGCTTGGCACCTGTAACTCAGAGGCTAGGGCACCAGCCACATACATGGGAGCTGGTGGGTTCAAATCCAGCCCAAGCCTGCCAAACAGCAATGACAACTACAACTAAAAAATAGCTGGGCATTGTGTGGGCGCCTATAGTCCCAGCTACTTGGGAGGCTGAGGAGCTTAAGCCCAAGGAGTATGAGGTTGCTGTGAGCTGTGACACCACAGCACTCTACTCAGGGCAACATAGTGAGACATTGTCTCAAAAAAAAAAAAATTAATCACAGAAATTTAAGAGAAAGTTCCGATAAATCATGCTTAATTTTTAAAAATACTCCCTAAATACCATATTCTCCAGGGAAATCACTGATTTACACAGAAGAACTAAAATGAAAAGTGCCCTTGGGTTCTGTGACATAATCTAACCCATAACAAAAATCTATTTTTTTCAAGTTGATTTGTTACTTATAACAAAAAGAACTATAAATGAAAATACTTCTTCTTTTTGGTTGTTGTTGTTGTTGCAGTTTGGCTAGGGCCAGGTTCGAACCCACCACCCTCGGTATATGGGGCTGGCACCCTACTCACTGAGCCATGGTGCTGCCTGAAAATACTTATATTTTAACTATACAAAACAATCTGGGTCCTCCTCAGGATTCTGTCTATATTAAATACTATATATACTTTTACTTTTTTTTATACAGGTGACATGAGGAACTACAGCCTAATACAGTAGCACCTTTGTGAGATGACCAATGGAGGGACTGTAACAAACTAGTCAACACACAGAGGTAGTCATGTAGGCCACCTAAGAACTAGGTCTACTCTGCTAACATGTACATGTGGGCATGTCTGGTCTATGAAAATTAAATCAACTTAAGGAAGTGGTCAATATAGGGATATGGTCAACTATGGAGGTTCTACTATACTTTGTGGTCAGGCATGCTGGCTCATGCCTGTAATCCTAACTTTGGGAGGCCAAGGACGGTGGACAGCTTGAGGCTGGGAGTTTGAAACCAGCTTGGGCAATAGTGAGACCTTGTCACTACAGAAAAAAAAAAAAAATTAAGCCAATGTGGTAGCATGTGCCTGTAGTTTCAGCTACTCAGCAGACTTACGCAGGAGGATCACTTGAGTCCAGGAGGTGGAGTTTGCAGTGATCTATGATGATCCCACTGTTCTAGTCTAGCCTGGGCAATAGAGCAAAGCCCTGTCTCAAAGCACTTTCTAAAATTTTTTTTTTTTTGAGACGGAGTCTTACTCAGTCACTCTTGGTAAAGTGCTATGGCATCTATTTTTTTTTTTTTTTATTTTTTTAGAGACAGAGTCTCACTTTCTTGCCCCTGGTAGAGTGCTGTAACATGAGAGCTCACAGCAACCTCAAACTCTTGGGCTCAAGTGATCCTTTTGTTTCAACCTCCCAAATAGCTGAGACTTATAGGTACCGGACACAAGGTTTGGCTATGTTTTAGAAATGGGGTCTTGCTCTTGGTCAGGCTGATCTCGAACTTGTTAGCTCAAGCAATCCACTCGCTATGGCCTCCCAGAGTGCTGGGATTGAGCCACCGTGCCTGGCCATCCAGCTATTTTTTTTTTTTAGAGATGGGATCTCACTTTTGGGCTGGTCCCAAACTCCTCAGCTCAAACAATCCACCCACCTTGGCCTCCCAAAGTGCTGATATCACAGCTCACAGCAATCTCAAACTCTTAGGCTTAAGCAATACTCTTGCCTCAGCCTCCCAAGTAGCTGGGACTACAAGTGGGTGCCCGCCACAATGCCTGGCTATTTTTTTGTTGCAGTTATCATTGTTGTTTAGCAGGCGCAGGCCAGGTTCAAACCTGCCGGCCTTGGTGTATGTGGCCGGTGCCCTACCGACTAAGCTACAGGTGCCACCTGCATTGTTATCTATTTTCTTTTCCAAGAACTCTAAAGTGTATATGAAGAGAACCATAAAACTTTCATGGGAATTCACTTAAAGGAGGGGTTAAAAGTCCCAATATAAACAATTTACTGGGAAGCCTTTTCTGTGTAGGATGTTTACCTTTCCTAGGCCCAGTCCTGATCCTGGCATGGGGGGAGGCGGAGGGAGAAAAGAGTTCCATGGAGTAGTTTTTGACTTGATGTTATTTGATTTATTTCCAGGAGACCTGGAGGTCTCACTTTCATCTGTTGAAACTTGACTTTCATTTTCATTCTTTAAAAAAAAAAAAAAAAGTAAATATTTGTTACAAAGGTGTCATTAAGAAAAATTTAATGCCTCAGTGAATCAAACTGATGGCTAATTATACTGCTTAGTGTCTCATCTAGTCTCTGCTTTCAGGAATTGAATTTTTTGGCATACTTACCTCTTGAGCATTCTGTTCTATGTTATTAGTTACTTCAGAGGTTGGGGAACGTAGATCAGACAGATTTTGCTCCTCTCTATTTCCATATCCAGTGTAAACCACAACACAGGTTTCTCTCTTAAAATCAACTGAGGCAATGGTAGCTGGGTAAATGCAACCATCTTCTGACCAAATGGCAGAACATCTGTCACCAACTTTCCACTACAAAAGAAATCAAAGATACAAACATGCATACATTTTTAAAGAGGGCAAACTACAATCTTGTTTGGAGAGGGGGTGGACAGTGGAGGCTTGACAGAATAGTTAACTGATTTGAAAAGCTATATGATATAGTGAAAAAAGCTTGGGGTCAAAACCACATATATCTAAATTCCAACTCTCCCGTTACATAATCATGGACAAATTTCTTAATCTCTTTATTTTCCCCATCTGTTAAAGTTACAATATAATTAACCTACCTCCTATATTTCTTGTAAGGAATAGTAAAGAGAGAAAGTGTATAAAGCATTCAGCACTCTGGTCGGGCATAGAGCATGAGCTTATCAACTGTTGGCTCTCTTCCCCCTTGGCAAGGATAAAACTCAAGTTGACCAATAAGACATCAAAATGTTTAACTTCCAGGTATCCTGCTTTTAACTAGCAGAAGTGACTCTACCTAGACTTTTGGGTTCCCTGGAATTGATAGTTTCAGGATTTTTGAAGAAAGAGAAAAAAAAGATACCCATCTTTGAGCTTAAGAAGTAAAACACAGACACATACACACACATACAAAAAAAAAAAAAAAAAGAAAAGAAAAGAAAAAAGAGAGAGACTCTGTCTCAAGAAATGAAACACAGCCCATTCCTTCTAAGGCCCTCAGGTACTCCTCTCAAACACCATCACCTTCTTCCCTCCAGTCCACAAAGTAAGCACTGTCCTGATTTTAGCATTTATTTTTCCCACCTAATTCTTTTTTTCTTTTGAGACAGAGTCTCACTTTGTTGCCCTTGGTAGAGTGCTATAGCATCACAGCTCACAGCAACTTCAAACTCTTGGGCTTAAGTGATTCTCTTATTCAGGCTCCCAAGTGGCTGGGATTACAGGCGCCTGCCACAATGCCTGGCTATTTTTTGGTTGTAGCTGTCATTACTGTTTGGCAGGCCCGGGCTGGATTCAAACCTGCCAGCTCCAGTGTATGTGGTTGGCACCCTAACTGCTGAGCTACAAGTTTCAAGCCCCATCTAATTCTTTATATTATCATTTCTTCCATGTATGTTCATAAACAGAAAGTTGTTTTTGTTTTTGTGACAGAGTCTCCCTTTGTCACCCTCAGTAGAATGCTATGACATCATAGCTCACAGCAACCTCAAACTCTTGGGCTTAAGCGATTCTCTTGCCTCAGCTTCCCGAGTAGCTGGGACTACAGGCACCTACCACAACATCCGGCTATTTTTTTATTTTTAGCAGGCTGGGGCTGGATTCCAACCCACCATCCCTGGTGCGTGTGGCCGGCACCCTACCCACTAAGCTATAGGCGCCGCCAACAATAGAAAGTTTAATGGTTTTTTGTTTTTTTTTTTAATTTCTGTAGAGATAAGGTCTTACTTTATTGCTCTTGGTAGAGTATCGTGGCGTTACAGCTCACAGCAACCTCCAACTCCTGGGCTTAGGCGATTCTCTTGCCTTAGCCTCCTGAGTAGCTGGGACTATAAGCACCCAACCACAATGCCCAGCTATTTTTTGTTGCAGTTTGGCTGGGGCCTGGTTTGAACCTGCCACCTTCGGCATATGGGGCTGGTGGGTTCAAACCTAGCCCCAGCCAAACTGCAGCAAAAAGATAGCTGGGCGTCCTGGTGGGTCCCTGTAGTCCCAGCTGCTGGGAGGCTGAGGCAAGAGAATCACCTAAGCCCAGGAGTTAGAGTTTGCTGTGAACTGTGTGATGCCCCGGCACTCTACCGAGGGCAATAAAGTGAGACTCTGTCTCTACAAAAATAAAAAAAGTTTTACATATCGCCTTTTTGGTCTTGGCCACAAAAGCTCTAGGACAAAGGGAACATCATCCTTTGGAATGCATCAGAATAAGACACATACATTGTGTCACACTGTGGCTCTATGGCCTACCACCTGGAAAAGCTAACCTGTGGCAAATGTGGCTACACAGCCAAGTGCAAGAGAAAGTATAACTGGAGGGCCAAGGCTAAAAGAAGAAATACCACAGCAACTATGATAAGGCACCTTAACCACAGCAACTCAGATAAGGCACCTAAAAATTGTGTATTGTAGATTCAGACATGGATTCAGTGAAGGAACAACACCTAAACCCAAGACAGGAGCTGTTGCAGCATCTAGTTCATCTTAAGAATTTCAACAATGAGGC